AAAGGATGGAAAAGAGGCAACCGCTGGAAGGGGAAAATAAATAACAATGAGGAAAATAACCCCAAAATCAGCCGGGTTTCCGGGCGAGGAGGAGCAGGAGGTGCCGGCGACTCGCCTGATGATGTAAGAGGATTGCATGGCGGTGAGGAAAGCCAGCGGCAAGCCGAAGCCAAAGTAGTAGGGCCAGTTCCTCTCAATGTTGGACAACCGTTGGTGCATCTCGATTCCTGGGGGAGAAAATTCCCACCGGGATGAAGCTGAAACAAGTTGGGAGAGACCCTAAATCCGGGAGGGGATAAAAAAAAATGCACCTTTTGGGAGAGCAGCCCTCACCTTTGTTGAACCAGCGGTACTCGAAGCAGTAGAGTGAGTAGAGCAGCGACATGTGGAGGAGGCCGATGAGCTGGCCGATGACGTCGATGGGGAAGAGGCTCACGATCATGCCCTGAAGATTTAAATAATAAAAAACAAAACAAACAAAAAAACAGGGAGGGGAGATTGGGATTTGGGCCTGGAAATTTTGGGGAGCGCGTGGCCTCTCCGCTCTCTCACCTGGATGAGGAAGAGCGCCTGCAGCAAGAGGTTGAACAACATGTCGGCGATGATTTTGCTGACGCTGGGGAAGGGGTGAGGCTTCCTGCCGGAGACCTCGAACGCCAGATCCGCGATGTCCTGCCCGAGGGAGGGGGGGAAAAAACAAAAATCTGCTGATTCAAGTGGATCTGAGGTGAAAATTCCTGCCCCCCCCTTTTCCCAGTGCCCACCTGGAACCAGATGGCGTTGACGACCTTGCTGAGGACGAAGAGGGGGAGGACCCAGAGGGCGCTGAAGATGGAGGTGAGGATGAACTCCAGCCAGGACCAGACGTCGCCGTGCAAGGAGGGGTCACCTTGGGGAGAGGAAAAGACGCAAGAACCTCCGTGGTTCCACCCCATCATGGAGCGGGGGAGGCTCCAGGGACCCACCGTGCCCGGCCCGGGGACGCTTACCGATGATCTGTGCCGTCACCGACTGGAGGACGGGTATAAATACGCGGTAAAACAAGAAGAGGCTGAGCTGCGGGGAGAAAGAAACGAGAGACGGTCGGTGCGTGGTCGTTTCTCACACTCCTGTGATCTACTACTCGTCCGCTACTGGTCTGAAGGCAGAGCTCTCCACGCACACCATTATAAAGACAAGAGAGGACCAAGGATCTCTGGTGAAATACAGCCAAAATGTACAAATGAGCCCTCTCCCTGTCGTAATGGGAAAAGAGAATTAATTAGCCCGCACGGTTAAGGGTTGGCTTAAAGAAATGGCCGCAGAAAGGCCAGAGCCAAAGAAATGTCTCTAAGGTAAGGAAAATCTATTCGATAAAAGTGATATCCCAGATCCCAGCGGGGCCAGAGTCGAGTATTCGGGTGAAAAGCGGTCTTGAAAAGCGCCTTGGGTTTGATGCGCGGGTTTCCCAAGCGAGTCTGGGACCGGGAACTTGGTGGTTCCCCGTGATTCCCACAGCCAAGCTGATGTCTCCCCATCAAGCAGCTATAAGGGCTGGTTTTCACTTTTTTTTTTTAACCAGAAATTAGCAAAAATGGCCACTTACCCAGAAAACGCCTCCGTTCCAGGCACAGCACTGAAAGATCCGGCTCACGATCCGGGGTTCGCTGCGGAGCAAACGGGTGAGAGGGGAGTTAACATCCCAATTCCCGGAAAAACGTCCCCCAGCAAGTGACAGCTGCTTCTGTCTCACGTTTCGGACACCTCCAGAACGCTTCTCCAGTCACCTTCTGCTACCAGAAGGACTTTGTAACCAAGGAAAACCAGCAAACCACGAGTGTTTCATCCCCTCAAAATACATATTATTCCTCAAGGGAAGCTCGGGGAGGATCAGGATGGTGGGACACAGCTGACATTTTTTATCACCTTGAGATAAGGTTGGAATAATACACTTTTCAGGATGCATTTATGAATTAGTGAGTGAAGTGCCGCCTGACTCTAATTAGGGCGGTGGAGAAACATCCTTGTGCAGTTTAGGAGTCAACACCAGGATGTTGCGACACGTCTCCAATGAGTTCTTTTAGAGAGATCGTCACAAACACGGGCAATAATGGTTTTATTTCTTAAACCGCACTCACCTCAACTCCCCTTTTTGGCCAGATATTTAGGAGAAAAACCAAACTGTCGGGCCCCCAGTACTCACTTCTCTTGCTTCTTCTCCTCCATGTGAAACCTCCGCTGGGCCAGAGCGCTGTTTGCTCTCCTCCGCCGCTGCTCTTCCCTCTTCTGCTGAATCCGGGCATCCAGCTTGGAGATGGTGCAGATGCCCCAGATGGAGTCCTTAATTCCCTGCGGACACAAGGAGGGACCAACCCAGGCCACCGAAAACCTCGTTACCGAAAGGAACTTCAAATAAACACTGCGAGGACACCGGTGTGAGCAGTCAGTGGGAAGTTCCCGTTACGAAATCCAACTGAAACCCAACCAGAGTCCCTTCTCCTTCAACTTCTTTCCTTTCATTTCTGAGGAGGGAGGAAACCGACGAGACCGGCCCCCGCGACAGAGGCTTACCCTGACGAGGTCCTGAAGGAAGGTTTTCACGCTGTCTGCCATCTCGACTCCAGCATCACCTCCGGTTCCCAAACTATCAACTACAGGGAGAGGGGAAAAGCCGAACCCAAACCTCTCTCATCCTGGAGAGATGGGAATTGGATGGAGCCTGGGGAGAGACGAAACAGAGGACGGTGGCAGGCGTTAATCGCGGGGAAACACCCGTGCTAAATCCAACATTTCAGCCTTGCCTGGTTTATTTTAACTCAGGGGTGTTCCTGGGGGGCATCCCAGGGTTGGGAGATCCTCACAGCGCCCCAGAGGCGCCCAGGACGGGGAGCCTAGGCCTGACTCACAGTAACGCCAGGGCAAGGGGCATCATCTCCCCCCGCGGTTAACGGGGGTGACCCCCACAGTGAACACTGGGGGGCAAACTTACTTAAGAGCTGCCCCCGTGGTTGCTGGGTTATGCAGGAGGGGGTGAGTGTTTTACTTCAGGGCTGTTCCCACAGTCTCCCTGGGAACTGGGCGGGAGGCACTTACCTGACGGTTGCCCCACAGTGTCCCCTTGGCCCAAAACTACCTCAAAACCACCCCCACAGACCCCTCCAGACTTAAAATTACCTCAGGGTCCCCCCTACAGACCTTCCAAAGCCCACAGTTACCTCAGGGAGGCTCCCCTGGAGGCTTTCAGTTACCCCACAGTGGCACTGGGCCCTAAAATTACCTCAGGGCTGCATCTACAGACCTAAAACTACATCAGGACTACACTCATGGACCCCTCCGGAACTAAAATTACCTCAAGGTGGCCCCCACAGACCCCACAAGGCTCACAGTTACCTCAGAGAGGCTTCCCCCGAGGCATTAGGTAGCCCGAGGTGGTGCCAGGCCCCAAAATTACCTCAGGGCTGCATCCAAAGACCTAAAATTACCTCAGAACTGCCCCCACCGACCCCTCCAGAGTTAAAATTACCTCAGGGTCGCCCCTACAGACCCCCCAAAGCCCACAGTTACCTCAGGGAAGCTCCCTCCAAGGCTCTCAGTTACCCCGCGGTGGCGCCAGGCCCCACAATTACCTCAGGGCTGTATCCATAGACCTAAAATCACCTCAGGGTCACCCCCCCAGACCTAAAACTACCTCAGGGTTGCCCCCA